TGACAAGTCCGCAGAAACACGAGTGCATGAAATTTGGAGAGAATAAAAACCAAAACAAAACAAAAAACCTTCAATCGATCCCACATCTCAAAGGGACATGAATCATTATGGAAACAGTTCCCTGTTTTGTTGTTGGTGTTTGTTTTTCCTTTCTGATCCTTTTTAAAAATCCAAAGCGTTGTTCAGTTGTACGGATCTTGTGGATTTCTCTTGGCTTCTGTAAACTCGCAAAAGACGTGATGAGGGTGGCTGCTGGGTGCTGATGCGGTGCGACTGAGCAGCGGACCGGAGGGCTTCCTCTTCAGGGCTGGCCTCAGTGGCCTTTGCCTCTGCCCGACGAGCAGGCCCAGTCATAGATGACCAACGGAATGCTGACCAGCGCAAACAACACGCCCAGGCTCAAGAAAAGGGCAGCCTGGAACAGAAAGGCCCGGGTCAGTCTCGGGGAAGCACACCAGGTCCCACACCGACGATGTGAGGGGGAGGCACAGAAATGCTCGAGTGCCTCGCCTTTCGCGTCCTGACAGTTGGAGTGCTTGGGAACGGTGAGAGTCCCCCTAGATTATGCAACATTGACTCTATGCGATGGTCACGCAAGAAACCCAAGCGAGGCCGCGTGAGCCTCTACCTCCTGTTCCCGAGCTTCCTGGTCACTCCCGGGGGACGGTTCTACAGCGGAGCGCGGCGGGATGGCTGCTTTAAAACTTGGGCTGCCGTTTAAAACAAAGCAATGGCGATTTCATCACTCGTTACCTGCAAACTAGGTTATTGCTGGCAGATAAGCATTTCTGTTTGAAAAAGTGTGTGTATGGGGGGCGGGGGGTGGACACACAACACATTGCACTTATGAGCAAAGCAGAGTTGATCAAACGAAATAGGAACTAGGCTTCAGAAGCTAAGTTCCCTGAAGGGGTGGTGCTTGAAGACTAAACGCAGCATGGGGAGCCCCCGATATTAAACTTGCCTCTGAGAATGCGCGTGAAGCTCAAGGGTGAAGCCATGGGAGCACCTTGGGTACTGGATGGGAGGGACCCATCGCTAAGGAGGAGACAGATGGGGTGCTGAGAGGACACACAATCTTAACTGGTGGGTCCTGGGTAACTCCCACTGGGTCCCCACACAGGCAAAGCCTGTGCGGCAAACCCTGCTACCAGCTGTCTTCTGTCCTTCCAGCTTGCTATGGGTTGAAATTGACTCTAAGGCAGGGAGTTTTGGGGGGTTGTTTTTTTTTTTAACCAGCTTTATTACAGGTGCAGGGGTGAAGAGGCCCAGAGAATTCACCGCACCAGGCCTCTGCCAGAGCTAGCTTTAATCCGAGGACATGTCCTTCTGTGCCAGTGACCGCTCCTTCTCCTCTCTGCTCTCTGAAGCCCGGACTGGTTAGGGTTAGAAGGATTGGGGAGTCATGACGTCATGGGTCATGCGGTTTGAGGAATGAGGTGCCCTTCCGGTACATTCACGTGCCTGTGGCTAGGTCCACATAGGTCATTGCGGGGCTTTACATGATCTGGAAGGGCAGCTGAGACGCCTTCTCTGAGGCTAAACATCACAAGGCCCCAGAAGGTACTCATGTTGCAACCACTCCCTGCCTCCTCACTGTCTGCCAGATGCCCTATAACTTCATCAGACGTAGGAACCAGGATCCCAACGTAGCCAGAGCGGCAGTTTCTGCATCCAGGGCTGCAGCAACTAAGCCTTTGTGCCCAAACACAGCCACTTTGATTAGGACCTTGCATGTCCCCTGGGCTAGGTAGGGATGGCATAATGAATTACAAAGAAACAGCTGACTCTGCAAAATCTTTGCGTCCCTCTCCACTTGGAAACTTGCTGAAGACAAGGGATTGTCCTACAGAGGTAACACCAGAACCAGCCCCATTCTCATCTCGCTCACTCTGGCTCAGGGCAACTCCGTGTGCCCCGAAGGGTTTCAGGGCCGTGGTCTTTACAAACACAGATAGCCAGGCCTTTCTTCCACTGTGCTGTTGGGTGGGTTCCAACAGCTACCCTTTTACTTATAGATAGCCAAGGGCAAACCACCTGTGCCAGCCAAGGCCCCTCCCTATGGGGACACCAGGGATCTGGGTGATCCTCCCCCGGCCCTGCCCTCACTCAGCAAATGCTGAGGCACAAGGAGAACACAACTGAAAAAGGTCTTTTCAGGGAGTGGAGACGACCCTCGAGTGACATTCTGACTCTCCCAGATGGGAAAACCAGCAGGGCTCACGTAGAGGCAACTGAAAGTGGTATTTGATGGTAGATGACTTGCCTCTTGACCGGGTAAGTGCGAGTGCAAAGCGAATATAAAACATTAGAGGGGCTGGCATCAGACCTACCCAAATTCTCTGAGTTCCCTTGTCTCCATCCTGGTTTGTAATTTTTAGGTAGAGAGATGAAGGGAGGATGAAAATCAGCATATTAGCAGACGTTACTCCTGTTAAAAAAGAAACAAAGACATCAAGTGTGGGCTGTGATCGACCTTTTAGCTGTCTAGACCGCTGCAGAGGACTAAGGGGTGCCACACAGACCCACGACGCCGAAGATGTCCTCCATGTAGGGTATGAAGATGACCAACAAGTTGACGATGACCAGGAGGACCAAGGTGACCACGATGTGCTGGCATAAGTTAAACTTCGTTTTCTTGGCCAGTTCAAACAAAGACGAACGAACCTGCCGGAGCAGAACATAAAGACTCCGTCAGGCCAAACCTTCCCGTTCCCCAGAGAGCCACTGATTCATTGGGGCGTCACAATTTGTCAAAGAGTCTCTAATGCCCAGTGAATTGACAGACACCTGAACAGTTGGGGAAGGAGAAAGGGTTGGCTTAAGATGGGAAAGCATTTTTATTTACGAAGGGATCGGTTTTGGGTGTTGTTTTGTGGCGCGTGGGCCGTAGGGAAGATGGATGTTTGTTTTGCCTAAGACTTATTGTCCTTTTCTGAATGCTCGGCATTTCCTCTCAGGTATGATTTAGATTCATGTATTCTATCTGGAGTTCCCTATAAAAGAGAGAAACTGATTCATTAGAATTAAACCTCATCCCATCATAAAATCAAGTTTCGATTGAGGTGATGCCAACTCAGGGTGGACTCGTGGGGGTCAGAGTAGAACTGTGCTCCACTGGGATTTCAATAGCTGATTTGGGGGAGTTAGACCACCACGCCTTTCTTCTGAGGTGCCGCTGAATAGACTTGAACCTGTAACCATTTAGTTAGTAGTTGAGCATGTTAATTGTGCCAACCAGGGTCACTCCACCATAGGCTACTGAGATGCTACCGATTCAGTTACTTAATATGTCCCTAGAGGTGCAATCCCTTCTGCAGTGCATTTTGTATTCTAGCTTCTAGACGGGTGGCTGTAGTCTCATTTCTGTTATGGACAGGATTGAGTAGAAGGTGGGATGAAGCCGGCGTCTCCATCCTACCGGAGTGTGCGACTCAAGTCACCCCCATTAGTTTCCTTGGTGGGACAGTCTGCTGAAAGCCCCAAACCGCACTTCCATCAAAGCCATCCCTTCTGTGACCTCTGCTTCCTGAAGGAGCATCGGCAGAAGCAGGAAGACCTACTGCCTTCTGGCACTTTTGCTTTCTGTCTCTGGACCCTGCATTTGCCTCGCCTTGTGAGTTAGTTAATTGTGCCAGCCTGGCCGATAATCACATGTGGGGCTAATTGAAAGGCGGAGGGATAAATGGGTGGTGAAGCTTCGCCTTTCTAGTTCTCGGGTCTCTTGTTTAGTGATGGTCGCACTAGGTGCAGCTGCCTTAGCAGTTCCCTGCTTCAGCTTGCAAGATTGATTTCCTACAAGACATCCCCAAGGAGAAGCCACATGGATCTATCCCGATGCAGCCCTGGGTGCTGGAGCAGCCGTGTGGAGACCCCTGCTAGTGCTGAGATGCTTATTCGTTTACTGACTCAGCTTTCATCCTGCAGTCAGTATCATTGCCCTTGTTTTGTGAGGTGGAGGACTTTGTGGACTGGTGTTGGGTTAATGGGTTCATGTTGGACTTGTGGGCTTGGGCAGCATTGGGTTGGGATGTTTTCATGATGCACCTTTTCTTTACATAAAACTCTCTCTTACACATGAGTTGCTGTGGATTTGTTTCTCCAAAGTACCTAGACTAATTCACCTTGCCTGACCTCTGGTTCTCGCGTTGTGGTCTATCACCCAACAGTTTCACCAGCTCCACAGCTCTGTGGGTGACGAGGATCCTCCAGACACACATTTGAACTTGGGATCTGGGACTCAGGACCCCCCACAACCACATGAGCTATTTCCTTAAAGCTCTGAGAGTCTGTGAGATGCTGCAGTGAACTGCAGAACCCAGGGGCATGCTGGGATGTGCTTAGGGGAGGAGAGGTTAACATCCAGGGAAACGGAGTGCTCTAACATCTTGGAAACGTTGGGCATTTGAGGCAACTCCACCTCCTTTGGATTATTCATAACTCACGCCACCGATTCGACTCCAACCCACAATGACCCTGGAGGTCTGAGTAGACCTGTCCCTGTGAGTTACTGAGACCATCTATTGAAGGGCGTAAAAAGTTCCGTCTTTCCCAAGGAGTAGTTGATGGTTTTGAGCTGCTGACCTTGAGGTGAGCAGCCTAACTCTTTTTATTATTATTATTAATCATTTTATTGGGAGCTCTTACAGCTCTCTAACCATCCATCCATCCTTCCATCCATCCATCCATTGTATCAAGCACATTTGTACATATGTTGCCATCATCCTTTTCAAAAGTTTCTTTCTACTTGAGCCCTTGGTACCAGCTCCTCTTTATTCCCTCTCTTCCACCCTCGTGACCCCTTACTAAGTTATTATTCTTTTTGTCTTACATCACCTGCTGTCTCACTTGACCCACATTCCTGTTGTTTGTTCCTCTTGGAGGGGTGGGATTAACACGCCAATCATTGCGATTGGTTCCCCCTTTCCACCCCACCTGGCATTACTACTGCCATTAATGTTCCTGAGGGGGTTATCTGTCCTGGATTCCGTGTGTCAAGAGCACTTATCTGTACCAATGTACATGCGCTGATCTAGCTGGATTTGTAAGGCAGACAGGGGTCATGATAGTGGGAGGAAGAAGCATTAAAAAACTAGAGGAATGTTGTGTGTTTCATCAGTGCTATACTGCACCTTGGCTGGCTTATCCCTTCCTTGTGACCCTTCTCTGAGGGGATGTCCAATTGTCTATAGATGGGCTTTGGGTCTCTACTCCAGCCTCCCTCGTTTGCATAGATATGATTGTTTGTTTGGGGTCTTCTGATGCCTGATACCTGATCCCCTCAACAACTCATGATCACACAAGCAGCCTAATTCTTAACTACTGTGCCACCAAGACTCCTGCTTGGGAGTAGACTAGTGTGATAGTTACATAACCTTGTGTAAACTTGAAAGTATTAAGAGTGAAGGGGTGGACTCTAGCCTATCAATCAGGTCACAGCCTGATGATGCCTCCTTGTGGGCATGGCCTTCTCATGAGGATTCTGGGAAACTTCTCTCTCTCTCTGCTTTTGTTTTCCTGTTGAGAAGCCATGCAGAGACTTGCTGATTCCTGCGAGAATCCAGCCTCTCTCTTTCTGGTTCACCTTCCTGTTGAAGAGCCACACTTAAGAGAGCTGGCGGAGCCACGTGGAGACTCACATCAGAGCTGAGATGTTTCAACTGTCTTTGGATCCACAAGACTTTGCACCCACCTGCCTGTGATCTTCCTGCATTTGGCATCATTGCATGTGACTGTGTGAGTTTAAAGAAGGATTTTTGGACTAGTACTGGGACTTAGAGGCCAATATAGGACTTATGGACTTGATCTGGACGGGGACGTTTGCTCAATATTCAATTGCTCTTTAATATCAAGCTCTCTTTTACACACCTATGAGTGTCTCTGCATTTGTTTCTCTCGTCAACCCAGTCTAACACACCTGGTATGAAGGCTTCTAAAACAAATAAGTACCACAGCTACGTTCATTTGCTGATCCCACTGCCTGTCCGCTGGGT